CTCCCCATCCCGACCCTCCGATCCTCTCTCCCCATCCCGACCTCCTCCCCTCGCTATCCCGACGTCCGGACCTGTCCCTCCCCATCCCGATTCCGTCGCCCCCTTTGCCCTTGTCGCCGCCATCCCGACAACTTCAAGTTCTCGATCCCGACTTCCCCTTCCGTTATCCCGACGTCGTTGGTCTTCGGGTTGCGCCCATCCCGCATCCCCACTTCCCGCTCCCCATCCCGACCCTCCGATCCTCTCTCCCCATCCCGACCTCCTCCCCTCGCTATCCCGACCTCCGGACATGTCCCTCCCCATCCCGACTCCGTTGCCGCCTTCGCCCTTGTCGCCCCCATCCCGACAACTTCTCGATCCCGACTTCCCCTTCCGCTATCCCGACGTCGTCGGTCTTCGGGTCGCGCCCATCCTGCATCCCAACTTCCCCCTCCCATTCCGACTCTCTGACCCCTCCTCCCCATCCCGAATCCAGACTCCCCCCCGCATCCCGACCCCTTCCCCATCCCGACCCTCCGACCCTCTCTTGCGTCCATCCCGCATCCCGACTTCCCCCTCCCCATCCCGACTTCCCCCTCCCCATCCCGACTCTCCGACCCCCTCTCCCCATCCCGACTTCCTCCTCTCTTTCCATCCCGACTTCGACTTCCCTTTCCCCTATCCCAGCGTCGTCCATCTTCCGGCCTGAATCCATACTTCCCCCCGCATCCCGACTTCCCCATCCCGACAACTTCTCGATCCCGACTTCCCCCTCCGCTATCCCGACGTCGTTGGTCTTCGGGTTGTGCCCATCCCGCATCCCGACTTCCCCCTCCCCATTCCGACTCTCCGACCCCTCCTCCCCATCCCGAATCCAGACTCCCCCCCGCATCCCGACTTCCCCCTCCCCATCCCGACCCTCCGACCCTCTCTTGTGTCCATCCCGCATCCCGACCTATCCCAGCGTCGTCCGTCTTCCGACCTGAATCCAGACTCCCCCCCGCATCCCGACTTCCCCATCCCGACAACTTCTCGACCCCGATTTCCCCCTCCGCTATCCCGACGTCGTCGGTCTTCGGGTTGCGCCCATCCCGCATCCCGACTTCCCCCTCCCCATTCCGACTCTCCGACCCCTCCTNCCCTCTCTTGCGTCCATCCCGCATCCCGACTTCCCCCTCCCCATCCCGACCCTCCGACCCTCTCTTGCGTCCATCCCGCATCCCGACTTCCCCCTCCCCATCCCGACTCTCTGACCCCCTCTCCCCATCCCGATTTCCTTCTCTCTTTCCATCCCGACTTCGACTTCCCCTTCCCCTATCCCAGCGTTGTCCGTCTTCCGACCCGAATCCAGACTCCCCCCCACACCCCGACTTCCCCCTTCCCATCCCGACCCTCCTACCCTCTCTCCCCATCCCCATCCCGACCCTCCGACCCTCTCTTCCCATCCCGACTTCCTCCCGACGTCGTTCTTCCTTCCATCTCCTCTCCCAACCCAAAAAAAAAGAAAAAAAAAGAAAAAAACGAAAAAATAAAAATAAAAAATAAAAAAGGAAAAAAAGATCAACTCGCCTTCGTCCACCATCTCCTCTTCTCGTCGTCTCCTCTGGCTCGCTCGTCCCCCTCTTCTCCTCTCCTCCGGCGCGGTGCTCTTACCATCACTCTCTCTCCGAACCGGACGGCTGTACCCAGCTGTACCCGCCAACCTCTACCTCTCTCTCTCTCTCTCTCTCTCTCTCTCTCTCTCTCTCTCTCTCTCTCTCTCTCTCTCTCTCTCTCTCTCTCTCTCTCTCTCTCACTCAAGCAGCGAATCGAGACATCACCGCGGGAAGCAACACGGGAAGCGACACGTATCGTCGAACCGAGTCGCATTCAAGCAGCAAAGCAATTGAAACAGCAAAGTTGAACATCACGGCGGGAAGCTGCACATAAACGCAAAAGCAGGATCGCCGATTGGGCCCGCGTTGGACGGCCCGATAGAAGTTTCGGGAATCGCCTGGCGCCGATCCCGAAAACTCTATCGGGCCGTCCAACGCAGGCCCGCTCGACAATCCCGACGACTCTCACCGGTTCGGCCCGGGCCGAAAGACGTAGGCGGTATTTGTCGGCCCCGCCCGCCGGTCCCACTACGTTTCCCAACAGTGGATAGCGGCCTCACGCGGGAGCGTTACGCGAGGACCGCTATTTACTTAAAGAGTGTTATGGAAGTCGTTAGGACCGGATCCCAAAAATTATATGCTACCGGAGGGGGCACCAGAAAAGAATACAGTGGAACAATAGCAGAAACTGCAGAAAAGTGAATTGAGTGTTCTTGCAATGGAAGAAACAACATCTGCAATGGATCTGGTCCCCTCTCCGGAAGTAACTGATCCGGAAGACTCTTCGGATCAAGATGGAAAAATAATAATAATAATAATAATAAATGTAATCAGCCTATGGTGCGGGGGAAAGGACTATGGCAAAAGCTATAAAAAAAAAGAAAAAAAGTGTCAAAATGATAAAAAATAAAAATAAAAAAAATAGACAAACTGAGGGATGGGATTCAGGGTCTAAACATACAACAAGGAAGCATGATAAGAGGGGAAGATCATGACCAAGAAAAAAATCCTGATCCTTTCAAGGATTCTTTTGGTCCAGCCCCAATGGACGTTGATTCACAACAACCTTTCGATGCTCCAATGACAGATGCCTTCCCCCAGTCAACAGGGGAAGGTCAATCAGAGATCCCACTGGATCAGAAAATAATACAGTTAGTGGATTGGTTAATTGAGAGGCTCAAAATTACATTCGGAACTGCTTCTGTGGAATTTTGGGACCTCTCTTATTTACAACTTGTTGATATGTTAAATGGTAGTGAGAGTTTGAGAAGAGTATTGCAACAAGGGTTACCGACAGGAGCTCGCTGAAATGCAGTGAGCCAGCGGATGTTACAAGCAGTGGAAGCACTATTCCACTCTCCTTCCCCTCAGTCAACGCCTGGAAATTCGGAGTTAGAATAGCAACATAACGCGTTGGTTCCAGTTGATCCAGTTGATCCTGCGGCTCAAAGGAATGTGTCTTCCAATCAGGAAAAGGATCCCCAGTTGCTTGTAGTGCAGTCTTCTCTCGCTGAACCACCAGAGGTTACCCCCTCTCGTCTAAGTGACTCTGGGTTATCACAATCAGAAGAGGAAGGGATTAACTTAATGCAGACCAAAGATAATCAAGGGGAAAAAGAAGGAAGACAGTTTGAAGGTGATCTATCAATTAATGTTAACGAAGGCTCAGGAAATCAATAACAGAGTCCTCAACAGCTCCAATTGCAATCGCATACGCTGTTACATCCCCTTTCTTCAGACTTCACACAACAAATAACATCTGCTAATACGGTTGTAGTGAATGATAAGAATTTGTCCTCTCAAGGACATCAACATCAGCAGTCATCACAACAGGAGGAACAACGAAAGTAGGTGCAACAACAGAAGCAACCTCTAGTCCTGCAATTGCAAAGTACAAAGTCTCCTCAATCCCTGGTTTCCTTCCCCCCTCCAGTTGCACAGGAGGCTGGCAAGAAATTAAAATTGAGACAGATTTTGGAAAAAGGACAAGTAAATAAATCACAAATTCCAAAAGGCAATTTGATTATCTCGGTAAGAAAAAAGGAAGGAAAATGGGAAATTGGTCTTTCTCCAATTGGTCAGGATCAGTATGGTGGGGTTATATTAAGGGGGTGGTCATCTTATGTGGAATATCAATGTGCGGGTGATCGTCAATTAAAAAAGGATCTTAATGATTTCCTTTCCAAACATTTTGACCCGGGTACTCAAGCTACCATTACGGAATCAAGGGAGAAGTCTCAGATGGCCAAGCGGGATATTTTTGTCAAATTTGAGGAACACAAGGAAGCTGGACTGAAGTGGTATACACACTCGGCCTTGATGGATCTGCAACACCTGAAATGTAAGGTTAATGCGGTCTGGACAGACTCAGAAGTGGTAGTTTTCTTGTGTTTCATCCTCTGCAGAGGAGTCCTACAAGTTTCCTCTGAGTTGGATAAGGGCAATTGGGTGCGCTTGTAAAAAAAGACAGTTTGGGAGATGGGGTGGCCACTAGATAGTCATGGAGGCTCTTCATGCACATTAGGGGAAAACCCCCTCCTGGCACCTCGCAACTAAATCAACAGACTTGGATATGAGATCTATTAATGTTAATGGTTTAGCAACAGCTAATGCAGAAAAAAGGAACGCCTTAATTGAACAGTTCAAAGGCGTAAGGGGTCGTCATTGGCCTGACTTGATATGTATTCAAGAAACGCATTTAACGGACTATCCTACGCATGTAAGAACTCAGAACATTGTATGGCCGTTTCAGAAATTTGTTACCCATGCTCCAAGAAGTGGGTCAGGGAGAGTGGTGATCTGGATCTCACCGGACTCTAGGGCAGAAATAATACATTGCTCAGCAGATAAGGAACAGGGTCGATGGATTTCAGTTTTGGTTATGCTAGAAATTGAAGTAGTTTGTGTTATAAATATCTATGCTCCTAATGAAGTGCAAGAAAGAGTAAGTTTTTTGCAAGACATTAGGACTCAGATTCCAAATGGAATCCCGATAATTATGGCAGGGGATTTTAATGCAGCCCCGGACAGGTGGCTAGACCGATGGAAGATATTTGTTCCTTGCCCGAGAAGAGGATGAAAATATTATAAGTAGGCTTTGTTCGTCGGAACATCTGTATGATACATATAGAAGGATTTTTCCTCGGGAATGTTTTTTTATATGTATTCATAACAGTGGATCCCCTTATCATTCCAAGTCCCAAATTGACTTGATTCTCATGTCAGAAGACCTGGATCATGCTCTAGTATGGGTAGCAATCTTTCCTCAGAGCCCATGGCCAGGAACGGATCATAAAATGTGTGAGATTTTGTTGTCATTTCGTAAAAAAATAGATCAAGGGAGGGGGTTCTACAAATTAAACACTTCATTGCTATCCCAATACTCATTCAGACGTTACATACAGTATGTATGAGAATACTGGCATACTACAAATAACAGACATGGTTTCAGGCTAAAAATTGACATCTTCAAGAGATGAACATTCAATAACAAATCCTAAAATATGAACTAGAAGATCTATCTGATATTTCTCAACTAGTCGACATACAAGATCTTAAAAAACAACTTTTAGATTTTATTCAACTCCATTGGCAAGGACTTTTGATTCGAGGTAAGTTAACTAAGTTCTTGATAGAAGGTCAAATGGATTCCTCCTATTTTGCCCTAGCGCATGTTCGTGCTAGGCGTTCAAGTATCGAATGTTTTTTATATCCTTTTGATAAAGATGATCTTTTTTTTTCTACTTCTTCTGCGGGAAGTTTAAGAATTGTTTATATTTTTTTCAAAAATCTTTTTACATTGTCTAAAGGACCAGAGGGAAGGATAGAAAATGAAGAAGCTATAAACCGTTTTCTTGCTCTAATGTCACGGTCACTCTCTCAGTCCCAAAATGAACAATTAGAGAAAATTGTAACTAAGGAAGAGATCTGGACAACCTTACTTCAGATGGAAGAAGATAAAATACCGGGGATAGACGGTCTTCCTAAAGAATTCTGGGAAAAACCATGTGGCCTCAGACCTGATGAATTTTTTTGAAAAAGTCTAGGCTTCAGGATGTATGGGGGAATTTATGAGCCAAAAAGTTTTAACTCTCCTATATAAGAAAGGTGTTAAAACTAATATTAGAATTACCGGCCTATTACTCTTCTCACTGTGGTCTACAAAATGCTGGTCAAAGCATTGACAAATCGGTTAATTTCATTAATGGCTGATATTATTCACCCTTCCCAAACGGAGTTCATGAATGGCAGACACATCCAAGATAACATTTTGTTAATTAATGAAACACTTAAACTTGTACGCCAGTCTAAACAGAATGTTGCTTTTGTTTTCATAGACTTTGAGAAAGCCTATGATCATGTGGATTGGCGTTTTTTTTATGCTTGTCTCAATAAGATGAACTTTGGTCAAAATTTGAGAAGATTGGTATCCATTTTGCACCACAATGCGACAAAAAGAGTTTAAATCAACGGTCTTGTAGCCCTAGAAATTCACCTACAAAGATCAGTTAGACAAGGGTACCCCTTGTCCCCTTTTTGTTTCTAATAATCATGGAAGCCCTAGGGGAAAATCTCAGGACTAATAAAAATCTCAAACGATTAACGGTTACAGGAATCCCAGAAGAGGCCATACCGGTCACCTCTATGTTTGCTGATGATTTAACACTAATGGTGGAAGCCTCAGAGAGTAATGTGGAAGAGATTAAATCTCTGATGGACTGGTTCTCTCAGGTTTCTGATATGGTGGTCAATTGGGGATGTAAAACACAGGGCTGATGGATTCACTCTAACGACGTTAGACCTCCGGAACTTCCACAAGTAAGTTGGGTACCACTTGATGCTCCAATCCGCATTTTAGGTGTCTCTCTCACAGCTCAGGGTAAACCAGTCATCAATGATGATTGGGTTTCTAGCCCAGCAATCGATAAAATGAATCAATGGAAATATCAACGTACTTCTTTGTTCGGGAGATCCTTAATCATTAATAATGTGGTTTTTGCCTCGATGTGGTATAAATCTGCCTTATGGTCAATATCCAAAACAGGATGAAACTGTTGTGTAAACGGGCTTCAGCATTCTTGTGGACGGGTAACCATGAGAAAGAAAAGGTAATCCCAAGGGTCGCTTGGAATACTCCAACGCAAATAAAAAAGGGGGCTAGGGATTCTGGATCCAACTTTGCAATGCCAGGCCCTCTCACTTCAATGGATCAAGAAACTAATATTT